CCTATTATCTTAACTAGTGTTTAAATATTAGTAATATTGTTACAGTACATTTGTGTAACTGTGGTCAGCATAAGACCTTAAATATTATAGATTTTACATGAATTAATTTATGAAAGCTAATCTGGTTTGCCTGTATCAAAAAGAATGGTCTTGTGAATGGGATTGTTTCTTTTCTTTTCCTGATAAAGAAGGTATTATTTATAATGGCATAATCATTTACTTAAAGTGAAATCGTTTAAAATTGTTAACACTTGTTTTTAAGGGAAAAAAAAAAAAACAACTTTTACACTATAGCATTTATGCAATGGTTTACAAAATTCATGGAATTATTTTTATTATCAATATGAGAATTAAAATAATTTTTGATCTTTGCTGTGGTGTCTTTCTTTATTGTTGGTAATAAAGCCTCGGCCTCAAGGGAATGAATATGGAAGTGCATGAGTTGGTTTGACCGGCCTTCTGGAAGGTCTGCTGTACTTTGTTCAAACAAACAATATAAAAGTGCTACATTTAGTATAAACTTTGAACCTTGAGCATTACTTTAACCTTATCGGTTTCCATTAAATTGTTTCTAGCTGCCTAGGCTTATGCTTGAGTAGCTAGCAAAATCACTACCACATCGGTCCCAGGAGCTACCTCCATACTACTTCTAAGCAAGTAACCTTCCTTGAATTTTGTGACATGACATGCTTGTTTCAAGTTGGCCGTCTCATATTAAAGCTGAAAACTAGGAACACAGATGCAGTGTATATAAAGGGAGCTGTTTTACCTGCCAAAAGATTTGTTCCATTAAAGTGGCAATAAACTCAGAAGTTTAAATCTTTCAAAAATGAATTCAAGTACCCTAACTGTTTATCACTCAGCTGTAGATCCTCAAATCATCTCTGAGGCCCCGGTCACGCCGGGGTGTTACGGCCGCCATGAACGATCCCATACATTATGGGGACCGTTCATGAGACTGCGCGGCTCAGCCCGTTCCACACTGCTCCCTCAAACAAGAAACGAAAGACCTTGCCGGGATTCCTAAAATATGTAGACGGGTGCTCGAAATGACCGCGGATGGCGCTGCCACATGTAGATAGTTTGAAGGATGTCATCAGCACACCACACGATGATAATCCGCAATTAAGTGTTCATTTATTGACAATCGCTGTCTCATTAGCAAGTGCTTTCGAGGCCACACAGGGTCCCCTTCATCAGGCTCATCTCTGAGCCTGGTGAAGGGGACCCCGTGTGGCCCCGCTTGCTAAAGAGAGACAGCGATTGCCAATAAATGAACAATTGCCAATTATCATTGTGTGGTGTGCTGGTGACATCCTTTAACCCGAACTGCTCCCTGACCCTTTTTTGCAGTGCTGATCAGTGCCGTTTCCTTAAAGCTTTCAATGGAACCGCACCGATCAGCGTGGTTTTGGGCGTTTTTAATTGCGTTTCAGTGCTGAAATGCAATTAAAAACTCCCAAAACCTCCTTTTTGAAACCACGCTGATCAGCAACCGCCCTGGTGTGAATGGGCTCTGAGTTGGTGCAGACACTGTCCTTCCTTCTGGAGGTTGGCTACTTTTGTTCCCCATGGTACCTGTGTGTGTTGTATAGTAGCCACCACTCCAAGTTCGCACCTGTGATGGACTACAAGCTAACAGTTGGTTTAATAGTTTGTATTGAGATTGTAGTCCATCACAGGAGTGAGTTTGGAGTAGTGGCTACTTTACAACACACACGGGGACCACGGGGAAAAAAAGTAGCCACCCTCCAGAAGGAAGGACAGTGTCAGCACCAATTCAGAGATGATTTGAGGATCTGCAGCGAAGTGATAACACAAATAAGATAAATTTTTTTTAACAGGAATGCATTTTTAAAGGTTTAACTCCTGAATTCAGTGTCACTTTAAGATTTCCACAGCATGGCCAGTTGAATGAAATTGCTTACAGTCAAGGAATACAGTGGGATCCTCTCCTCAGCCTGCTGACTGGACAATGAAAGAGCAGACAGCTGATGGTCATCTCTTTACACACCCTGCTCTATTCTATCAGCAGGTGGCTTGTCAGTATATTTGCATGCAGCACACCTAATTGGCTCCCAGTCTTGCCCCTTCCTCTACCCTCCTGCTACCCAGTCATATATAAGGACTTACATTAGTTGCATTAAAAAAATTATACATTTATCAATAAATGAATACAGAGCTTTGTTAATTTATATTTGTATATTGCCCAGAGTTCAGCTTTAACAAAACAAAATCTGTTTCATTTACGATGGCTCTGCGTTTTTCAAGAAATAGCACTTTGATCTGTAGATTTATAAAGGAAAATTTGGTAGAGCCGAGTCTTTGTTTTATTCTCAAGAGGAACATGATCTCTGGCATTTGCCTACGTGCTGATGGATCTAATGTCTCTAACATCCCAACACTTTCCTATCACAAAATTATGTAGAAGTGGTGCTAGAACGGCCTGCTTTATACTCGCTGTAGAATTATTGCTCATTTAAATGAAGTTTCATTTGTGGCTTAAAGTGTATTTTCACTTTTCCAGCCAAATTGGGATAACACCTATTTTATTTACTTAGGGGGAAATTGATTAAAAATGGAGCAGACAGAATCGTGAGCAGTTGCGCAGACTAACCGACCAGCTTCTCACTTCAGTATGTTCAGTTAAGCTTTAAAAATGAAAGCTAGAATCTAATTGGTTGTCATGCACAGATAAATTCCACTCTGTATGTTCCCATTCACATAGCATAAAAATAATGCTTCTTGTAGTTTAACATGCTTTTAGTTGGCTTAGGGTTTCTTGGCTTGTTAATGGGTTTTTTTTTATGTTAGTAGGGGCTGTGAGGGGACCTATCTATTCTATGTTAATAAGAGAAACACTATTCTCAAATTTCTGTCCTAAGTCTTTCTATAAGGATAGGTCACTGTGAAGGTGCACAGAAAAACCTGGGATCAACCTTGTTTCCTGATGCAACAAAACATCTAATAAAGGTAAGAAATATATTTGTTTAAATTGTCATTATGCTGTGTGAATGGGAGCACATAACAAATATATACCTTTTAGAGGAGTCATATCACATTTGACTGCAAAAGTGGAAATACTCATTCATTGAGCTTGATTAAAGTGTATCAATGAACATTCATGATGTAATACTTTTACTAAAGCTGGCCGCACATAGATCTTAAGATCTGATGTATTCCCCTATGTGCTGTTGCAATTTGACTTTGCCAAGCAAGGAAGGAGACCCATGCTGGTGTGGTCAGTTTGTGTCCCTAGGGAGGCTGGTAAAACTTACAAGATGCTGTGCCCACACATGGCCTGCCTGTATCTCCTCTAGTCAATTTTGCAGCCATGCCCCCCCACCCCGCCCTGTGGTGTTCAATAGCAATTCCAAGGAACAGGGCAGGGCAGAGAAGGGGGTGACATGTAAATGAATTGTGGGGAGATATAGGATGCTGTGACTGTACCTCCTGTAGTCAGTTTTGCATTCCCCCATTTCCTTGTCCCTCTAAATTGCTGCTGAACACCGCAGGGCTGAGTGGGGGGTACATCTGCAGAGGATACAGACATGGCATTCTTGATCTTCCCATAGTTAAAGATCCATTTCCCCCACCTAGCCTGCCTGTGTTTATGCCTCTCCGAATTTCTGCTGAGGAAACAAATGTGGCAACAGCACCTAATCTAACTATTTGCACAGCATCCTTTGATGATTGACAAAGGCTTTTAGCCGCTATGTCTGATGTAATTAGGCAGCTGCCCTGTGGCAAGAAATACACCCCCTGCACTAAGAAAACGAGGAAGGTTGTGCGCCTACGTGACTGCGGAATAAAAGTTACTAGAGCTATTGAAAAGAACTTGCAGTACTTTTGTTAATACTTTAAATCCAGTCACTCTCATCTCTATACAGTTGTTGGACAATTATATTGATCTGATAAAAGTAAACATTTTATATGGCTAGCATAACAGAATCCACACAAAAATAACTTTGTATTTTAATTAAGAGCAAAACAATTGGCTTTAGTGGTGGGCTCCTATGTATAGAACACAGTTCTCCGCCATATGCATGAAGAAAGGCTGAAGAGGGCTACCTGTGGGTCAAATATTAAGCGATTACTAGTCCAATTAACCCATTCCAGTATATAGTGTTCTGGAAGGCAAGCAGTCAGCTGTGCATGACTGTAGAGATTCTTTAAAGGAGAACTATGGCGTTAAGGCTTTTCCCCATAGTTCTCCTTAGGGTAACGGGAGGACACAAACTAGCGTCCTTCCTTCACCCTAGGCTCAGTATACCGCGAGCTACTGCTCGCGGTATACTGAGACGCCGCAGCTGAAGCGGATCCCGACAATTATGTCTGGATCCGCCCAGCTGCGTGACTGACAGCTGGCTCTGCCTATCTAGAGGCAGAGTCAGCTGTACCCGCCCCCTCCCCCGTCAGCGCTGGCGGAGCGGGGAATCCAGCCCCTCCCCTGTCATGGCAGAGAGCCATGACAGGATCGAGAAGTGAGCGAACGCCGCTATGTGTTCGCTCACCTCCCGATCTACTGAGCCGACCTGTGACAGTCTCATTGTCACAGGTTGGCATGAACTATGAGGTGAGTGAAAAGCACTCACCTCATAGTTCTCCTTTAATCACTATTTTTTGGCTGTACATGAATGGTATGCATGTCTAAAAGTGATTCTTCTTACTTTGCAGCAGTGCTTCAAATGATGATGGGTAAAGACCGGGCAAAATAAAAGCTAAGACATCGCCCATTTAAAGACTTTTTAATTTTCAAATTCAGCAACTCAAAATAAAAAATGATTGGTTGTCATGCTAAAAAAAAAAAAAGTTTCCTTTATTCCCGGTTTCATAAATCCCTCATTTCATATTATATGCAAGAAGCAGGAACATCTTCTATGACTGCATTAAGCTCTTCTCTTCTACACAATGTTAGTGTTCGAGGTAGGTCTATACATCTCATAGTGTGGACATCACCACTGCATTGTGTTCCATTAAAAAGGAGATGCCGTATATCCAAAAAGAGGTATCCTGTGGTCTTTGCGAAGGTGGCTCCCAAAACCGAGGCAATTTTACGAAGATCAGGGGTGTTCTATATGTTAGTGGTCATCTCTATCACCAGTATCTCCGCGGAGGTGAAATCTTTCTTCTGCTCTGGCAGCATTTGGGTTTGAAGGAACCAGATGGTCAACTGTCTTATCTGATGCTAGGAATGTAAAAGATTAACTGTTAGAATTTAAAAGGCAACTTCATATGCTCCCCATTAACACTTTCCAAATAATCAGATTCCCTCGCAACACCGATCATCCCACCAATGATGTCTGTAACTAACAGGTGCTGGCGGAAGGAGATTTCTCCATTTACACTGTTTAGCCCCCCCGGACTGAACAAGAAAAACTAAAGTGGATGGCAAGCTTTTTATTTCAGAGCGATTTATGCAAAACGGCATACAGCTGTTTCAGTGCAGTGAATGGAAACAATGGCTTGTGGATACCTTCTCTAAACTGCAAAGAGAAATGCTTTCCTGTGACTGGGCCCATCTTAACCTTTGACTTTCATCACATTTGCACTGCAACTATGAATCCTGGTGCTCAGAGTATAAGAGGAAGGACTGGCAGATGTTTGAGTAAAGCTGGCCATCCACTGTATTATGCAGTCCGGGTGGACTATCTCCCCTCATTTAAAAAAAAAAAGGGCTGTGGCACTTAAATACAAGTTTTCTCTTTTAAAAAGTCCCTTCAGTTGCCTGCCAGTGAAGTCCACTGCAACTTCCTGTGATGGGGCGGCAACAATACTGCACTGCTCCTGCAGTCTGAGAAGAGTTGCCACTCTTGTGCAGGTTGCAACTTCTTGCACTACAGTGGGATGAGAAGATGTTGCAGGTGGTGTGGCTATCAGCATTGCCACTACTGATTTAGAAGCCTGTGGCTTGTCACTCAGCACCTGGCCACACCTAGCACTGCTCACTGATTTCTGGATTGACAACACTGCCTGTGTTGCTAAAACCCCCCCAATGTGAGCTGCAGTGTCTGGGAGGGGGAGCGTGTGTCCTCCCAAAGGAGGATTTGTCTCGGGGAGAGTAAAGAAGGTTTTTTTGTTTACTTTATAAAGCATGTCCATCACAAAGTAACTGGGTTTGGAGTTGAAAGTTGGCCATACACTGTTCTAAGCAGCGTGGATGGACAAATCCCCTGCATTGTTTCCACTGTATTCTTACAATGACCACCAGCAACTGTCAGAATGCCCGAACGGTACTTGCAGCAAGATTTTCCAACCAGCTCCTTCAAACTTCTGATCGAGGGATGCTGGACAGATGGGTGCTGACAGGGGCACCCTCTGAGCAAATTTCAGGCAGTTCTTGATAACATTTTCATAATATATGGCCGGCTATACCTGTAACTCCCAAGAACGCCAATCAAATCAAACATTTGTGTTCTCAATAACATTTCCTAGGAAGGCATTGGTGCTTACCATTTTTATAAGAAATCCCATTTTTGTCTAGAATGCTCTTGAGGCGCTTTAGTTCTTCAGACAGTTCATTGTTTGCCTAAAACAAAATTATAAATCATAAAAACAAATAGCTGTAAATGAAAAATATTAAATGGTCATGTTAGTGCAGAGTAATACAGTCATTCCTATGTATGCAGGTGAAAGGTGACCACTCAACGCCAACATTGGCATGTAATGTGCCATTTGACATCCCCTAAAGGAAAGCATTTTATGCTGCATTTCAGTCCCCTGAGAGATATCATCGCATTGAGATGTACAGTACATTTTCTGCTACAGCCAGAACGATTGTGGCATTTGGATGGTTATGCTTTAGGAGTAGCATGAAACCCAAACAGTTTTGCTTCTAATAATGCATCCTAAATGTATAATGGTCACCAGCTACAGAAAAGCATGACCTGGTTTTTGCTGTATTTTGCAGCAAGTGCATATAGCAATGCTAGCAAAACCTTTTCAAGAATAGTTTTTTGTTTTTTTTAATCTAAGCAACCAATGCCATACAGGGCAGTCATTTTAACATGAAAAGAGTACTACTATGGGACCGTGTGTTTGTGCTAGTCATAAATGTAAAATGCACTTTAATTTGCCCATGCAGGGAAATAAAAGATTCAATTAGTTCTCCCCTCCCCAGCAGTACCAAGACCAGGGAAAGACAACAAATGTGCAAACTCAATCTGACTGATCAGAGTTTACCCAGGGCTATGGACTCCTTCCCTGGCCCCATGTGACAGTGCTAAGCCAAATCACAAGGTTAGGGGAATTGTGCAAATCAGTGCTCGTCTTCGGAGCTGTAGTTGAGATTTGCAAAGCTGACTTTCCCAGGTAACGAGGCACCCAGGATACCCATTCCTGGTATACCTGCCTACTGGCAATATATCTTCTGTGCAAGCACAGGTACAATTTAAATATCAATGTGGGTGTGGAATGGAAACCTTTCTCCATCACAATATGACCCTCTACACATACATACATTTTTTTTTTTACAGGAAATAAGCAATGTACTACTTAAAGCAGACCTTCACCTGATAAGGTTTCACTGCCATCCTTTTCCTCCTCCCAGCCTCTTACACAATGGCTTTTATTTTTTTCTTTGGGGAGTGTGTACTTTTTTGGTGGTACTTGCTTTTACCTCTGCGTTTCTCACCGAGGCAAGGATAACGGTCCCTCAAGTCTGCCCCCTTCCCACCCGCAGCCTCATGGGATAATGTCACACATCCCAGGAGGCTACAGGACCAGGCTCACTGCAGTGCGGATCTCACACATGTGCAGTAGGGAGGCGGCTGTGGGTCAGCAGGAATTCACAGCTGGCTCCCAAATCCAAGATGGTGGCGGCACCCAATAGCAGAAGCCTTGGGAAGAATTGGCTGCATGGAAGACAGCACTGGACTTTCTTTATGAGTTGGCAAGTATGGGTTTCCTAAAAGTCAACAGCTACAGTACTTGTTACTGCAGACTTCTACATTTTCCCCTAATCTGGCAAAGTTCCTCATTAACTAACTAGAATATTATTAACAGATTTCTGTGCGGATAAAAATAATGATACTGGCACTGTAAAATCTAAGGTGTTTGCCATTATGCTGACCCCTTGGCTTCAGTATTTTCTGAATCACTGACCTGAAAAAAAAAGCATGTAGCTAGTGAAGTAACAACTGATCTCTGTGCCTGGTCCGAGCAGTGATTCAGACAGTACTGACAACAATACATTACCACGACAGCCAGGCAACCAGCGTTTTAGTGATCTCATAAAAAAACATACCACACTGCATTGCTCCAGGGTCTCAAACCTCTTGGACCCCTTCTGGTTTTCTTTTTCCTCACTTTTGCTTTCTGTGGACTTTAAGTAATTAGCTTCTTGAAATATTTCTCGGAGTAGTTTCCTGTAACCCTGAGCATAATTAATAAGCAAAAAAACATGAATAGATTTAACATGTATCCGAGACAACAGAACTTAAATCTGATCAGACAAAAACATAACATTTAACCTGCACTGAGGGGGGAATTTAAGAATAAGATGTGTTATAGTAGAAAGAACTATATCCAAAAAAGTTGAATTGTGTATAGAGTGTGGAAAGGTTTATAACCTCTGCCAGGCTTTTATGGTCATGGTGGGGAATATCCAACATGACATCATCACCTGGTCATGATAATGTCCTAATTGTACCTGTTCAGTGATCAGCTCATCAGATAAAGACTGTTCGATCTCATCCCACCTCCTGCGCAGCCTTTCATTCAGCGTGGGATACACTATGACCAGAAGAGCGACCATCAGTGATTTACACCATACAGAGTACATATCAATGAGAAGGAGAGTTCCAAGTTACCTAATAGCGAGTGTGGATGACAAACGAGAGGAGTCTTAAACGTCATGGAGTAGACACAAGTACTTGGCTCAGACACTGCCTCCAACTTGTTGCTTGATCCACAAACTAACAGAACCTGTACAAAAAAAAATGGAAAGGGTATCTAGGATCACAAAGTAAAAATAAATAGGTCTTTCTATAATAATAATGAATTACCATACGTTCTATCCCACTCCTAATGACTATAATGATCTAGAAGTTTGTAAACTTATTGAAGATTGCCATAGGATGTAATTCCTCAATGCACTGACACAATTTCACTCAGCCCTATGCATATGCACTTCCGTGTGTCACAACTCTAACTTAGCCTGCTGTCTGAACAATGTAACATTAGCATTGCTTGCTTGAAGCAATGCATGATGGGATATGTAGTCTTGAGAAATTGAGATTGCATCACATCAAGCAGCAGGGAAGGAGATGCATGGCACACTGGGAATCCAGGAAGTTGGTGAAAGTGATGGGCAGACGGAAGGCAGCACTCACTACATAAAAGGGATTTTTTCAAGTAAGCGTTCATTGTATTATCAAAACTGTGACGGACTCCCTGGCACCCCGACTGAGCACCTCTGTCAGTGATATGGCTTCCCAAATGGAACGTATTCCAAACCCTGTTACCATTACCTCAAGAATCAGGCAGCACTCATTTTGAGGTAAGCAGAATGACACAAGCCTTTATTAACACCAAGCATTTGAGTTTTATAGAAAGAAGCCCACCCCCTCCGGTCTAGAACGAACCGGTATCCACCACTTTGTAGGAGGCTGCTTTGTCCCAATACACACTTCGAGTTGGGAGTCTAACAATGGGCTGATTAGTTTAACAGATAGGTGTGGATGGGGGATGGGAGGATAAACAAAGAGACATACACACAGTGCCTTCCCCAGCGTTGGCAATACACAGCCTGGATTTGTCACAAAAACCAACTCTAGTATGTATTCCTATTACAGCCAGATACAATCAAAGCTCCGTCTCTGGGCCCCATTTGAAAGAACTGTCTGTGCTGCTCCAGACAAACCAATCACATTCTCCTATTCATGCAGTTAGGTTAGGAAGTGAAAGTGGGCTGTGAGGTTGCGGTGAAAGCACAGGTGGAACACAAATTTAGAGGCGTGTTGTCCTGCCAGCAAAAATGTTCCGTGCTATAAGGGTCACCATACACGTTACAATCTGATGTATATTGAAACTATGTGATGAGGACCAATCGAATCCATCTAGTGAGTTTGTATCCAATCAGGGAAGCCATTACACTACATAGTTGTTGGCAGATCTAAAGATGATTGCACAATCAGGTTGTAATCCCATGTGCCTCTAGTTAACTCTGTACTAAACATAGCACAGGGTATCATGGTCTTGTTTCCAATGAGTTGTGCTATGCTAAGTGTTAGAGATAAACCGATACCATTTTTTCGGTACAGAGTACGATTACCGGGTTTTATTGGGGGTACTCGCCAATACCGAGTACCGGTGCATTGTGCCCCGATTATCAGGAAGTCCAGCGGCGGATCATGACCCATTGCCCGGCTTCCCAATTTCCTGTGAAGCCGGTGTTCTAGTGAAAGAGGCTGCCTAGCTTCCTGACCAATCAGTAAACCAGGCTACCTACCAACAAGCTGGCTTCCTAGCCAATCGGGAAGCAGAGTGGCACATCATCATCCGCCTTCCAGCTTCCTGATTGGCTAGGAAGCTGGCTTCATATGTTCCTAGGGAGCGTGGCTTCCTAACCAATCAGGAAGCCAGGAGTCGGGACATTACTTCCTAGCCAATCAGGGAGGCAGGTCATAACCCACAGTTTCCCGATTGGAAAGGAAGAAAGCTCCATGCTCCCTCGGCATTGCCAGTCAGAGGGAGATCTCCCTCTGTCCAGAAGTTCCAGTATCGGAAGGCATCGGCGCATTTGGGCGAGTACAAGTACTCGCCATCAATACATCCCTACTAAGTTTAAGATAAAGGCAAATACATGCTGTAGGCTCACAGGAGCAGGGCTGTATTTAAGCAAGCCATGCATGGCTAGATTTCTTGTTCAGCCAGCAGCTAAAAAAAAGTAAATGATCCATTACCCCATGCACGCTGTTTAGTAGACCCTCCACTACAGGCTATTGTATTCAGACAACCACGGCACCTGAATACAACCTTGTGGGACGTAGACCCATGGCTCAAATTGTGCCAGATCCAGCAGGAATTAGTTGAAATTTGAATGGTCTATGTCCAGCATTAGACATTACACTGCCCCAGTCAATTATGAGGCCTGGTGATGCCCCTTTCACCATGCTGTCCTAGTCACTGGCCCAACAGTACCATTATGATAAAGGCAAACTGCTGGCATCAATTAGCACAAAGCAGCTCCTCTGGATTCAGGTGGAAAAATACATAAGTTACCGGGGCTGATAGTTGCTTTTTTTAAGCCTTTTGCAGGGCAGGTTAACAAAGGGCATTATGGCCCTCTGGTAATCTGCCCACACAGTAAATATTAAACCTTCAAGCACACTATGCAGTCTAGTATGCATGCCCTCTACTTAGACCCCACTGAATCCCTGCAAACCTTTGTCTGACGATTTTTGGCTCCACAAGCGTCACCTTCCCTCATCCACATGCCAGTAAATGTATTGTTCTCAATTTCCCACTCTTGCCATATCCTAAAACAGAACACATGAGAAGCTGCAGGTTTTATGAAATGACCGACATAGTTGGCCTTATTCAGTAAAACATTCTTAACTCTTAAGTGCTACTTCCTAAAAGCAAAGCCAATCAGAGTTCACGGTACTGAAGACAGACTTGTAAATGATGAATTCTGATTGGTTGCTACGGGTTACCACACTTATGGATCAGTAACTAAGAATTAAAAATGCTTTTTGAAAAAGGCAGGAGTATTAAAAACTTTCTATTTATTCAACACTCACCCTAAAATACCGCTGTATGCATTCCAGCGATACGTCTGCTCGTGCTGGGTTATGTTGTGAAATGGGCAGAACTCATATTTGTATCTGTCATCATACAGGAAAATAAGTTAAAGGGAAATATATGTACGTTATTATTATTACAGGTATTTATATAGCGCAGACAATTTACACAGCGCTTTACATAGTTGCACATTCACATCAGTCCCTACCCTCAAGGAGCTTACAATTGTACACACACATACAGGGCCAATTTAGACAGGAGCCAATAAACCTTCCAGCATGTCTTTGGATTTATATGTATCTATACAGAACATGGGTCTATTTTATACACAATTTGCATATCTAATTCATCTGCATGTAAATTCATTCTGTGCTAGTTAACCACCTGTTGTGAGAATAGGTCAAAAACAAATGTTCTTAGTGTAATTTCTCTTCTGGTTTAATGTTCTTTAATTGGTCAGTCATACAGAAAACAGTGACCGTGGTAAATATTGCCTATGGCCACTAAGTGGAGCTGAGGATCATAATAAATAAATATATGTACTTCTGCAAGTATGCGCGTTTCCCAAAAGGAAACTAGAATTTTCTGCAACCATGGCTAAGAGTACAGCCTTGGCACAATTCTGTCCCAAGAAGTAACTCGTTGGCATGTGCGGGACTCTCGTCACCTGGGCCTGGCCTATGGAGAGGCCAAAGACTCCGAAAGACCAGGAGGACGTGGACATGCAAAGCGGCAGAGGGAAGTGTTGATATCTCAGGGCTGGAGGGGATCACTTGCTGGGCAAGTCTGCCATAATGTGCTAATCTTCTGTACATACTGCACATTATGGCAGAAAGCTCCTGGGGGCCCAAAATGTTGCATTCGGTCTGGTGGATTAGTTCTGCCGCCAATATAAGAAACACTTTATTACCATATTACTTGTTAGGACAGCCTGGAGGAAGAATAGAAAACGCAGGATTCTGACAAGAGTTTTGATTACCTTTACTGCGATATTTATTTGTAGTAAGATAAAGAAGGCTTGTTGCACTCCTTACCGGAAATCCCCGTACTTCGGGAAGGGTGCTTGGAATGACTGCGGATGGCGCCGCCAGTTGTAAATTGTATTAGAGAAACGTCACCAGCACACCAAATTCCTTAAAGGATCATTAATTGTGGATTTATTGAAGACTCGTGTGTATTTGGCATAAGTCTTCAAATAAATCCACGATTGATGATCCTTTAAGGATTTTTTTTTGTAAATAATATATTAAAAGGAGAACTATGGGGTTAGGGCTTTTCCCCATAGTTCTCCTTAGGGTAACGGGAGGACACTAACTAGCGTCCTCCCATCACCCTAAGCTCAGTATACCGCGAGCTGCAGCTCGCGATATACTGAGACGCCGCAGCTGAAGCGGATCCCGACAATTATGTCCGGATCCGCCCAGCTGCTTGAGTGACAGCTGGCTCTGCCTATCTAGGAGGCAGAGCCAGCTGTACCCGCCCCCTCCCCTGTCCGTTCCGCCAGTCAACGCTGGAGGATCGGAGCGGGGAGGGGGGAATCCAGCCCCTCCGCTGTCACGGCAGAGAGCCGTGACAGGATGGAGAGGTGAGCGAACGCCGGTATGTGTTCGTTCACTTCCCAATCTACTGAGCCGACCTGTGACAGTCTCATTGTCGCAGGTCGGCTAGAACTATGAGGTGAGTGAAAAGCACTCACCTCATAGTTCTCCTTTAACAACCTTCTAGCATCAGAAAGTGAGAATTCTTTGCAAGTATAAATAATGAATGCATAAGTTATATTTAGAAATAATGAACTAGTCATAACTCAACTACTGGCAATATATTTAAAAGACAACACAGCCCTGTCATTAGAATTTCCAGAAAAGTCCTATGATATTCTAGCTGTTGTACTTTCACATATGGTATGTCTGTAAAGAAATCTGTACTTATAATGGCCTGTTCTGGCAGTCACAGGCTCTGTGTCAACTTACGTGGATTCCACAAGACTAAAACACTTCCCGGCCAATCTGAAAAGGTGTGATGGACCTGTAGAGACAAAAAACAGCAATTCAACATCCAAGAGCCCTTTAACAAGAAGTCAGCTACCCAACCTATGTGTGTGTTTCTATCTCAGTGTGTGCATCTCAAACAATACAAAAATTCCTCAGCACCTGATCCAGCTTGTCAGCACAGAGCTGAGCAGCTGCCAAGTTTTCCATTGTTGGATTTGGTGCAGACACACACGGGGGGGCTACATTGAGCAAGTCTGGGCCTCTGGTATGTTGTCGTACCTTTAAAATGACTGTCATGGGGGACGTATGAAGGTTGGCATTGCTGGTCTCTTTCTGAAAATGCTAGTTGCCCAGTTGCGTCTGACTTAAAGTGACAATAACCTCAGGAGTTCCCTTCAAGTACCTTAACTACTAACAAAAATGTATCTTATTTGTGTGTCATTCGGCTGTAGATCCTCAAATCATCTCTGAATTGGTGCCGACACTGTCCATCCTTCTGGAGGGAGGCTACTTTTGTTCACCATGGTCCCTGTGTGTGTTGTAAAGTAGCCATCGCTCCAAGCTCATTCCTTTAGTCAGTTTTTACCATATATGGGTTCTGTTGTCTTCACATGACTGTACCAGCCGTGCAAGCTTAATAAATCTGTTCATATAAAAAAATAACAAAACAAAAAAAAGAAGACATTACCTGAAGGCGGTGAAGGAGTTGTCCTTGGTTGTAGCTTGTTTGTATGTGATAAGAACGGATTATTTAACCTGAGAAAAATATTAGAAGTCAACATCACTCATACAGATCCATGTACTGAGCAGTTACTGATTAACTGATTCCACTCACAGAAGAGCAGTGAATGCAAGAATAGGACCTGACATCAACATCAGGGGTAACCCAACTTTGTACCTCCAGCTGTTGTGGAACTTCAAGTCCCATAAGGCACTGCACGACTCCGACAGCCACAGACATGACTCCCAGATGCAGAAGCATGATGGGATTTGTAGCTTCTGTCACTAAAACCCGCATGTACAACACCTAACTGATCTTACAAATGTTTCCTTTTACACAGTGAAGGCGATAAAAGGGATGACTAAAACTCAACATTACATACCCAAAGCTGTTGGGCTCTTCCACAATCTTCATCTTGGCTGCAGCTGCATTATGAACTACAAAACAAGAGATCCGTCACTCACCATGATCACAGGTACTTATTAGAAGCAAGACAGAAACAAGTCTTCTGCAGTCATGTGCTGTAAAGAAGAACTTTTCTGGCCACAGTTTACATCTGAACTGACTTCAGTGTATTTTAAGAAAAACAATAATTCTTTCTGATCACAGTGTGATTGTATAATTCACAGACATGGTAAAGCTGAATTAGAGCCATGCATACATATGGATTTTCTTTCATCCTGAATATGCATTAAGAAAACATCCAGGTTATGAAGCTATCCAGGATGGGTGGGAAGATCAGCGTCACCTCTACAGGAATATCTGCACACTGCTATCACCAATACACTGGAGGAGGTCAGCACTGAGGGGACAAACACAATACACAACACACTGACCTAAGAGCAGCAAGAGACCCAGCCAGCCCTCCATACTGCAGTCACATGCCTCCTCCTCCACCACCACACTGCTCCGTCACATGACTTCTGTCTCCTTCACCACCCGGAAGCACAGCACATCCAACAAGCCAAACACAGGACTTCAATTTTCCGTGTCACGTCACTGAGCGTACAGCGGGAGTCGAGAGGGAGGGCGGATAAATGTCATAACTATAAGCATAACTATACTGAAAAAAAATGTCTGTGCGTGGATACATGCTAAAATATACGTAACAGCTACAATACCGTCGATTTTTTAGGTTGTATCCAGCTGCTGATAACCACAAAAAGATAAAAAGCATTTAAGAGGAATAGGTAGGGCGGGGAGGAAAACCTAACGTTGTTTTGGAAGAGGACGCATGTTCGGCGCTGAGGGGTAAGAGAGACTGTATGGAGAAATGTAATAATACTCTGATACCGGTATGGAGCTCGGAGCATAGTGTGGTGACACCGGTATAGAGGTGGGAGCATAATGTGGTGACACCGGTATAGAGGTGGGAGCATAATGTGGTGACACCGGTATAGAGGTGGGAGCATAATGTGGTGACACCGGTATAGAGGTGGGAGCATAATGTGGTGACACAAGTATGAAGGTGGGCTCTGATGCAAAGGGGGAACTCGGGACTCATATGTAAGGGGGGCTCTGATGTAAAGCAGGGAACTCCACATCTTTCTTTATGTTTTCGTGTGGGGTCCCCCCTTGAAATCCATACCACACCCCTATCTAGAATACAGGTCTAGTATAGACTTTGGGGGAACCACACAACATTTTTTACATTTTAGACTGGAATGCCGGGAGATTTTGCATACTTTTAAAGGGGGCTGTGACTGAAAAAAGTTTGTGAAATGCTGGTTGTCTTGGTGATGGAGTATAGACCTGAGGAGATGTCTGCTCTAAAATAAATAGAGAAAAAGATTATTATTATTCCTCTCAGAGATACAATAAACACCATCACCAAACCTTTGATAAACAAGACCGCATTGTTTGTTACACACACAATCCCACCATCCCAGGAATCAGGACAACTCTACAATATGGGAACATTGTGACTTGGAATTAGCAATTCCGCTCTGTTGGAGAAATGTTTTATCATTCAGATTGTACGTTTACACTGCCACCAAGTTGTCCAAAGTCACGGCACCCTTTAGAGGTACACAAAGTCTCGAGGAACCCCAGTCTAAAATGTTACACATTAATGTAAGAAACGTGTGTGGGCCCTTCCAAAAATCATAGCAGGCCCTAATCCCAGAAAGGGGTCTGGTATGGATTTTAAGGGGGGACCCTAAGCAAAAATACTCCCGTTTAAATCAAGGAAAGGCATGGCACTGTATGAACATTTCGAGGCTCTCCTGAGGAAGCCTGAAGGCACCCTGGTTGGGAAGGGCTGGTTTAGAGCATTGTCACCAGAATAGAGACATATGCCATTAGGGATGCACTGATACTTACCCCCCATACCAGAACTTCCGGTCAGAGGGAGATTTCCTCTGACTGGCAGTGCTGAGAGGGAACATGGAGCTGCTTTCCCAGTCATCAGGAAGCCAGGTGGCAAGTAATGACTCACCACCGGGTTTCTGATTGGCCGGAAAGCCAGCTTGCCGGCCAATCAGCATCAAGGCAACCAAACAGCATGGAGCCGGCTTCCCGTACAATCAAGAAGCCGGGCGGCGGGTAATTATACGCCACCCGGCTTTCTGAATGCCTGGGAAGCCGGCTCCATTTTACTGGAAGTACCGGTAAGTACTGAAAGATATATATCGGCACTCGATACCGGAAAAACGGTATTGGTGCATCCCTATATGTCATAATCCTCCACTCACAGGTGCAGCTGATGGGTTAGAGATTTACACGGTGTCATTACACGGCGCCCGGCTTCCTGATTGGCCAGAAAGTCGGCTCCATGCTTTCTCGTCACATAGTGATAAGAAGCAAGGGGACAGCTTCCCTGCTAATCGTGAAGCCGGGTGGCGAGTCTTTACACGCCGCCCGTCTTCCTGTCTAATCAGAAAGCCAGGTGGCGAGTCATTACACGCTTCCTGAATGGGACTTCCGGTATTCGGTATCGGCAAATACCGGAAAAAAATATCGGTACTCGATACTGAAATAGCGGTATCGGTGCATCCCTAGTTGTCACCTTTGGGGGCCCATTATCAAAGAATGTTACCACATCATACATTTTTTACACCTTTCGTGAACACATACATTCGAGGGATTTGCAACATGTTCACATGCTACAGAAGTGTGATTGGGGACTGAGAGTGTTGGCTTTTTCTTCAAGCAAGTATATACACGGTAGCACCATATAGCCATGCCCTCTGGATCTGTGACTGTCTTCTTCGATCTAGAACCCTGGCAGGTTTTCCAACCCGTCTCTACTCCTTTCAAAACTAAAAATGAATGGAGTTCCCTTTGGTGACAGTATAAGAACTCTAATGTAGGGATTCCACCAGCCAGGAGAAGGCTGATTGTTATGATCACCTCCAGCTGGATTTGAGTCTGTACAACAAACTGCATTTCTAGAGTGACTTTGTATATTTCAGTATCACTCACAATGGGAAAGAAGAAACCTCAGAAAGACGGCAGACCGAAACAGAAAGAATCCCGCTATAAGAGGCCTTCTAAAAGTCTCGAGAGCTTCGCCAGTGAAGTCCATGAAGCTTTAGATGGTAATGTCTGTGTTCCTCCACGTCATTTATATACATCATATTTGTGTCATTTGCAGAACAATTGCTTTAAGTAATGGAGAATGCCATTAAAGTGACACTGAACTCACGAGTTAAATCTTACAAAAAGGCATTCAATTACCTGAACTAGGGATGCACCAATAGTAGTATCGGTGCCGATGCCTCTGATTGACTTGAAAGCCGGCTTCCCGGCCAGTCAGGAAGCCGGGCTCCATGCTTCCTCCTCACATGGAGACGGCTTCCCTGCTAATCTTTACACGCCGCCTGGCTTCCCGGCTAATCATTCAGTATCGGCGAGTACCAAAAAAAAAAATATCTGTACTCGATAACGAAAAAACGGTATCGGTGCATCCCTAACCTTAAAGGAGAACTATGGGGTTAAGGCTTTCCCCCATAGTTCTCCTTAGGGTAACGGGAGGACACAAACTAGCGTCCTCCCGTCACTCTAGGCTCAGTATACCGCGAGCTGTAGCTCGCGGTATACTGAGACGCCGCAGTATACCGCGAGCTGCTGCTCGCGGTATACTAAGA